TACATTTAGACTTAAATCTTGGATTCACCACTTTCTAACTCTGTGGCCTTTGACAACATACTTAACATCTCTAAGATTTAGTTATCTGTAAAATGAGGATATTACCTCATAGGGTTATTGAGGAAATTAAATAAGAGAATGTTTTAAGATATTTCAGCATAGTTCCTGGAAAAGAAAGTACTCAATAGTGAATAAATTAATAATTGGTATAGTAATACACTCTAAATCATTTGGACTCCAAGATCATCTAGTTCAGTCTTTTTGTTTTACAGATAAGGAAACTAACATCTCTGAGAGTTTAAGTGACTTACGTGAGACCCATGGCTCCTCCATACAAAGCCCAGCTCAGTGCCCATTTTCCACCTCCTTAGAGCTATAGTCTTTGTGACCTTATGAAATGAATGAAGCCAAAATATTTCTATATATTTTTCATGAAAACTACTAGGAATGTTCTGGCATTTGGCATAAGCCTGCTTTTCTATATAGATTGTCACCATTGTTCTGTGATAGTATTTTTTAACAGCCCTTAGAAACTAAAATAAATTATATCATGGCTTAAGACAAAATGCTTTATAATTTGGTCATTTTAAATTCAAATTAGATTGACTCCTTCAGGTTTCTGCAAGAAATCTTAAGCTTTTACCATTTTGTTAACTTTGCTTTGCTTTTTTCCTAAGATTTCATCTTCCCTAATTTTGCTTGGTTTCCCCTCAAAATGATCTAAAATAAAGTTCTCAAGTCTTAAAAATAAAAAATACTTCTTTCATTTTGGATTTTGGTTGTCTTGATTATTAAAGCCTACATTTGTAGTGTTTCTTACTTAAGGATTCATATGTTTTCAGAATACAAATATATAAAATTCTTACTTTGCAAGGAAAATAACAGGCTGATGTTTTTGCGTTGAGGCATTTAGAGAAAATACTACAGCCCCTCACCTCGAGAAGCATTTCACTGTCCTGTAGTATTGCACTACAGCTGGAAAATCACACAGGACAGCTGTAATGGAGTGCTCAATCATCAAGTCCAGGCTTCAGTGTGGTTGGGATTCAGAAAAGGAAATCAGGAAGCCTACTAAAAGGAAAGGAGTCCTGAGCCTGAAAAAAGTCTAGAATGTGGTTTGTCACAGTAGAGATATGAAAGGCTGACTAGGACCAGGAAGACAGGACTTTATACATGGGTGTGTGTGTGTAGATGCATATATATGGGTGGTGTGTCAAAACTTAAGAAATCCTTCTACTGTGTCTCTTCCAGGCTTTCCAGTTTCCCATTTTCATATCTTCTTAGCAGCTAAGCACAGAACCTTTGCATGGACTAGATACTCAATTAAACTTACCTGAATTATATTTTTAGGTAACAATTCTTGCTCCTGCCCTCACACATAAACTGTAACTCTAGTGCTATTCTCCCATCTTGCAGCTAACATGAAAGCTGCTTGCTATGTAGCCTAGAAATACCAGAGGCTGGAAGTAACCCTTCCTCCATCTGCAGGCCCCAGGTTGGAAGTGGTGGGTCCCATCACTAGGATAAGACCTGGCACTCCTACCCACTGAGCTAATAAGCCTGATTTCCTATCTATTTTTTTCCCCCTCTCTGCTTTCCTCCTCAGCTACACATGTTCTATCTCCTGAGCAGTCTAACAAGTTATTAAAGGGCAAACATCAAACCACCTTTTCAGTACTCTATTTTAGATGAGGGGTAGAGTGGGGGAATTAGGTAAACCCCCAGGCTGGACTGCTCATACACACACATACAAAAAAAGATCATAAATCCCCTCCCCCAAGACATATGTATAACTAAAGCCAGATATGTTTAAACAGGTGAATTTAATACCTGACATGTATATTTAATAAGCCCACTTATAAAATGTTAAATTTTAGCACAAATGAAGTGTATTTTATATTCTAGGTAGAAATTCCTGCAAAGATCATTTCATATTCGGCCTAAAGTTTGGCAAAATGTTATATATAGTTAGTATTTATTGAGCTTAGAGTCTAACATGTACAATGACCAATGACAGTATTTCAAGAGTTGCAGAAGGTTGAAAACTTAAGGATTTCTATAGAAATTGTAGCCCAAATTGCAAACACACATACACACACATGTATATACTGCACACACACAGGCTAATCAATCTTCCCTTGGGTGTGTATAGTTCCAAGACAGCAATTTATTTTACTTGTTAAATCTGAAGCATAACCAGACCCTATATGACAGGTATTATGAGTACCCATTTATTCCCTCCTGAACCTCCTTATTATTATTAGAAAGTTAGAACCATTCTATTACCAAACTCTATGAAATTATTTCATTCTTTGGAACCTCATAGCCTAGTGTCTGAATGTTTAAGCTTATCTAGCTTTTTAAAAAAAGTATATATTTTTTAATCCCAGGTCTGTGTGGCATTTATTTTTAATTTGAAGAGTAGCAGATCTTTATAAAAAAATATTAACTTTCTCATCCTGAAATTAAGACAGAACAAGGAAAGATAATGTTTTTGAAGAGATCTTTAGAAATTATGGAGAAGTTCTCATGTAACTTGGGTGTAAGAGTGGCAAGACATAGATTTACTGAATTAACAATGTACCTTATTATTGAAATTGTATTTCTCTGCTAATGAGCTTAGATCAAAATTATGAATAGATTTGCAGAACATGGAAGGGAATCATTCACTTTTGAGGGATCACTCCCTGGAGAATATGATTATTGTTATGCCTATTAATTTTTTTCATTCTGTGGTATGCAGTTTTTCTCAGAAAACAAATTTTAAAAATAATTTCCCTCATTTTTTTCAGTGTCCACTGAGTAAGACTGAAACTTCTGGAACATGTTACGTTTATCCTATAGTCTATGAGTGTGCCTACCAATAGACAATACCTCTGAGTAACCAAGGTGGACACTGAGACCCTAATTTGAGAATGTAAAAAGGATTAAGGCTCTGTTTTTCTGGTCACCCAAAAAACAAAATGTTTTTATCACTAGGAGTCAAGGTACCTTACATCAGGGGCTCTTCTTTTTCCTTAGAGACCATTCCTTATGTTTTATGATATTGGATCCAATCCAGTGAATACCTGGAACATTCGATGCCAGCATGATAGATACCAAATTTTTCCCAAAGAGAGCTCAACATGAGTCACACACACTGCTTTGCTTGGTGAGATTGGGAATTGTCTGGATTGCTGTCTGACCCTAATTATTTTCAGCCATTTTCAGAAAGCAGGAACACTGTAGCTTCCTTTCTCAAAGAGGGAAGGTTCCAAGATGCTGTAACCTTGGGAACAGTGGCCATACATTTACATAGAAGCACACGGGTGTCCTTGGGTATCATCAGACATAGTAAGGAAACAGTGGTGCCATGAGCGACCTTTATTGTGAAGTACTGATTGGTGCTCATTTCTAATACTTAGGAAGAAAAAAGTGAGTTTCCAGACTACTCAGAACAGTTTATTCAAGTATTTCATAATATCACACTTTTAAGAGTCCATCTGACTGCACTGGCTCAACTGAATAGTTACAAAAAATTAATATTTCACAGAAGTCTATAAAATATCTTCTAGCTTTAGACAGCAATAAAACAAAGGTAGTTTATGCCTCATTATCCATTCTTTTTTAAAAAAATTTTTTATTAAGGTATGATTGATATACACTCTTATGAAGGTTTCACATGAAAAAATAATGTGGTTACTACATTTACCCATATTATCAAGTCCCTACCCATACCCCAATGCAGTCACTGTCCATCAGTGCAGCAAGTTGCCAGAGATCCACTACGTGCCTTTTCTGTGCTACACTGTTCTCCCCGTGATCCCCCACACCATGTGTACTAAACATAATACCCCTCAGTCCCCTTCTCCCTCCCTCCCCACCTGCCCTCCCACACCCCTCCCCTTTGGTAACCACTAGTTCATTCTTGGAGTCTCTAAGTCTGCTGCCTTTTTTGTTCCTTCAGTTTTGCTTCATTGTTATACTCCACAAATGAGGGAAATCATTTGGCATTTGTCTTTCTCCGCCTGGCTTATTTCACTGAGCATAATGTCCTCCAGCTCCATCCATGTTGTTGCAAATGGTAGGATTTGTTTCTTTCTTATGAATGAATAGTATTCCATTGTATATATGTACCACATCTTCTTTATCTGTTCATCTACAGATGGACATTTAGGTTGCTTCCATATTTTGGCTATTGTAAAAAGTGCTGCGATAAACATAGGGCTGCATATGTCCTTTTGAATCTGAGAAGTTGTATTCTTTGGGTATATTCCAAGGAGTGGGATTCTGGGGTCAAATGGTATTTCTATTTTTAATTTTTTGAGGAACCTCCATATTGCTTTCCACAATGGTTGAGCTAGCTTACATTCGCACCAGCAGTGTAGGAGGGTTCCCCTTTCTCCACATCCTCGCCAGCATTTGTTGTTCTTAGTCTTTTCGATGCTGGCCATCCTTACTGGTGTAAGGTGATATCTCATTGTGGTTTTAATTTGTATTTCCCTGATTATTAGTGATGTGGAGCATCTTTTCATTTGCCTGTTGGCCATGTGAATTTCTTCTTTGGAAAACTGTCTCTTCATATCCTCTGCCCATCCATTGATTCTTTATATCATTCGATATATATCTGGCAGGGAAGGGATGGAGATATTTACATCTGAAAAAAACTTTTTTTAAATAACAAAGCTACTTTTAGAATTTTCTTATATTATTAGCCTCAATAATAGAAGAAATAGAAGACTGGGTGGTGGTGATGCATCCAAATGTATTAAAGCTTATTATATAACCAGAAAAGAACCAAAATAGCCACGCCTTCCTCTTGCCCTCTGCTCCAGCTAACCAACATTCTAGAGAAATCACACAAGGTTAAATTAGACAATTGTCTCAAGCCAAACATTTTTATATGTGCTCTAGTAAATTAACACATTCTTATATTTTGTATTTTCTCAACTGTATCTTTGCTTCATCCTTTCAGCTATATTTTTCCATTATTGAAAGCTTTCTGTCCTTTGCTATTACAGGATTATAGCTGGACAGATATCCGTTGCCCCTTTGAAAAACGAAGAGATGCAGCATGTGTGTTTTGGGACAATGTAGTGTACATTTTGGGTGGCTCTCAGCTTTTCCCCATAAAACGAATGGACTGCTATAATGTTGTGAAGGATAGCTGGTATTCCAAACTGGGCCCTCCAACACCTCGAGACAGTCTTGCTGCCTGTGCTGCAGAAGGTAAAATTTATACATCTGGAGGCTCCGAAGTTGGTAAGAACTTAGTCAGTATTCTTGTTTGGGGGAAGTGCTTTAAAGCCAAGTATATTGACTTTCATATTTAAATAAACAATTTGTGTTATTTGTCCAGGTACTTTTTGAAAATTTAAATGTATATCTGTCACATTTTAGAGCCCATTTCCTTGAAAGTTTGCCTTACTCCTTGATAAGTCATTCATTTATAATGACCTCAACTTCCTAGGTTATGTTAATTGTCTACTTTTTGTTGTAATGAAGCTTTCATCAACATCATCTGGATTTAGTTTAGATTATTTGTTTTGGATACTAATATTATTTGCCTTTAAGATTTCAGAATTCATCTTACTCATAGACCCTTTAAGACCTCTTTATTACATTCAAGCTTTTAAAATCTGTATTATCTTTGCTTTCTTTGTATCAGAAAAAAGTAGAATGATCTTTCTTTTTCAATTTATTCTTTAACTTTCTAATATAAGATTGCTAGTGGTTATACACTTATTGGTCATAACAGGGTGTAAAAACTTTTCTCATTGATGGATAATTTGTTAGTGTCCAGTAGTGGTCTTTTTCTAAATGAATTAATTTTTCTAATGAATAATCTAGCTGCAGAATAGACATGAAATAGTTTTTCATGCTTTCATTTTTTTCAAGTAATTTCTTTAGCTAAATAATGGGCTTATTTTCTTTTATGATTTTTATATTAGGCCAAGGAATGTTTTACTTTTGTCAGCATATTTATTTAAGTTCTTACTCCTGCCCCCACTAGATGTCAAATACCAGAAAAGTTTTGATTTCCTAAACGTGACTTAAGAGGTGACTTTTCCCCTCTTTAATGACATTCTTCACAGAATGTCTAATATAGCATATTTCAAATACAGTAAATATTAAAGATAATAGAAGGCAATTGTTCTGTAGGTATTTTTATAGAAAATACAATAGATAACTTTGTATCCTCAGTATTTACTAAGTCAGCTTTTTACCTAGTTTTTCATATCTGCTGTATACTGTATATTTCCCGTGTCAACCAACTGAATCTACTAAATTGAAAATGTTGAAAAAGCTAAAAGGAAGTTGTTGTTATTCATGATAGTTGCTTCTGGCATCTGTTACTCTCCAATCTCTGTTTCTCATAGACCTTGGTTGTGATTGACAATTATAAGGGTATTGTTGTTTTGTTACTATTGTTTTAAAGCATTAGGGAAGTCCAGAAGACTAGGAGATGAGAGGTAATTTGATAAAGTTCTAACTTCTTTTATCTTGGAAAAGAAAAAAAAGACTGATCTTTAATGATATCATTTCTAAAAGTTTATAAATATGTAGAAGTTGTAAAACAGGATAAATGTTTTGCCATTAAAATGTATAATCAAAGCACACCAGAAACATATTAATAATGATACTTTGAGAGCATACTCAACAGAAGAACAGCATGACTTCAGGGCTTACCCACACCACTGAGAGTTATTCAGGAAGAATAGTTTTGTTAATGGTGCAGTGGCTGTTACAGAATATTAAATGTCTTGTTATGTCATCAATGAGTAGTTTTCATATTTTAAGGTATAGATTTACCATCTGTAAATAGCTATGCTTTTCCTCTCTATATAAAATTTGAAGTTTGGATAATTCATGGCATGCATTACTGGGCTTGAAGACCTACCTACATATTTCTTGATTTTTCTTTTGAAATCAAGCCAGTTTCTTTTTCCAAAGTTTAATTACCATTACATAAGTCTTTCCAACAGATCATTTCTTGGATATTTTCCAAAGTCTATACAAAAAATTAGCTTTTTCTTCAACTATTTCTACAATTTTTGTTGTTGATTAAGTGTGGAAAAGATTCTACAACTCTTAAGTTCCTCCCTCCAGTAACCAATGACTCAGCTTTACAGTCAGCTCGCCCTAAGAGCAAACATGTATTAAGCATGAGGGTACCCTTTTCTTTTACAGGAAACTCAGCTCTGTATTTATTTGAGTGCTATGATACAAGAACTGAAAGTTGGCACACAAAGCCCAGCATGCTGACTCAGCGCTGCAGCCACGGGATGGTGGAAGCCAATGGTCTGATCTATGTTTGTGGTGGAAGCTTAGGGAACAATGTTTCTGGGCGAGTGCTGAATTCCTGTGAAGTTTATGATCCTGCCACAGAAACGTATGTATCTATTTAAAACTCTTATTTCACTGTTAACTATATTCTATAAACTCAGCAGAAGATGTCAAAAGGCAGAAGGAACCCCACAGAGGAGTTTAGTTCTTGTATTAAGAATGTGCATATACTTGGGAACATGCTAGGGCCAGGGGCATGTTTACAGCTTGGACCCTTCCTCTATACATTATAAAATAACTTCACCTCGTACCCCATGGAAGCCCCTCTGTTCCTGCTTGTGCAATAAATGCCTATGAATAAGATAAGTCTGACTGATTCATCAAACTCATAAAACATTTTTGAGAGGTAAGGAAATGTAGGGGACATTAAACTAATGAAATGGACACAGATATTCCAGTCAGAACTTCTGTTGGTATTCACAGATGTCTAAAGAGAAAAGTCACTTTAAGTGCATTGTTCTTCACAAGAACAAATTATTGGGTACCACCTTAAAAATCACAAATTATGTGTATGGGAGTGTATGTAAACAGGGATTGAATCTCAGAAAAAAATAAATACAGTTGCCAATGTATATGATGCTACTACCTGCAAATTATTGTTCTTCAACCCTTGTGTCTACATTTATATTCTCAATCCCATTATTTATAGTAGTGGCTGTGAACACAGCAACATGCTAATAAGTTATTAAATTTAACAGAATGGTAGTACTTTTGTTACTAGAGCTAGCTGAAGTTCTAAATGTGAATTTGAAGATGGCTGTGTGAGTAGTAACAGATGCTACTAATTTGCTGATTGCTGTAGAGGCCCTGATAAATTTGTTTTACTTTTTCATATGTAAATATTAAGTGAAAGCAGACTCCAAGGAGGGACTAGCAGTTACCAAAGGGGAGGAGTGGGGGAGAGGGGGAAGGGAGAAGGGGATTTAGGGGTATTATGATTAGTTGACATGGTGTAGGGGAGGTCACCAGGCAGACAGTGTAGCACAGACAAGTAGTGACTCTGTGGCATCTTACTGTACTGAGGGACAGTGACTGCAGTGGGGCATGGGGGGACTCGATAATGTGGGTGGATGTAGTAACCACATTGTTTTTCTTGTGAAACCTTTATAAGAGTGTGTATCAATGATACTTTAATAAAAAAAATTAAGTGAAGGTACATGTGACAATATTAGTGGTTTACATTATCTTCAGTTCTTCTCCTAATTTTTGTTACCATTTTGCAAATTATTGTGATCTACAGGAAGCGATTTCTTCCAAAGACAGGGTAATAGTGTCAAGGGTTCCTTTATTTCTCATGCCCTTTCAGAATTCAAGGAATAAAATCCATGTTTACTCCACCTATGAACAAGTTACTCAAAACCATTGTTAAACTTTTATTTTCTAGCCTTTCAGACTTGTATGTGTGTGAACACACATAAATGAGTGGTACATGTGCACTTAATTGGGGTTACAAACCTTTCTTATAAATTAGTTTAAGTCTTTTTAATTCCTGTGAACAAGTACACTAAAAACTTTTTTTTTCCAGATGGACTGAGCTGTGTCCAATGATTGAGGCCAGGAAGAATCATGGACTGGTATTTGTAAAAGACAAGATATTTGCTGTGGGTGGTCAGAACAGCTTAGGTATGTGATGTTAATCCCACTGTTCAATTTACCCACTGAGTTTGCTCATATTTCCTTATCTTACATTACTGAAATGTTTCTTAAAATCTAGATACAAGCACTTATCACATGCATCATTATACTTATTTTTATAGTTCCTGAAAACTTAGATATTTCATAAAACATAGCAGTATATTTAACATCCTTCCCTGTGAAATGTAGGTAATGGTCACCAGTCATTGTGACAGTCTCAGATTCCACACATTTCCAAATATGATATCACAACAGTTTCAGAACTATTAACAGAAACATTTTAACTTAAAAACCTTATAAAACTTTTAAATATACATTTTAGGACTTATATCCAGGCTCTGGATGGCAGTTCCCTGAACATTTTTAAACATTGCATCAAAGTATCAATATTACTATTTTTAAGTGAGCAGAGGTGACCTTTTTTTCCCTTTAATTTTATACTAAAGAATCTTAAGTAATTACTTTAAATAATGGAGAATCTGGACTGAATCTGTAGTTCTCAAACCTCTTTTTTGTCAGTACCTTTAAGCATTGCTTAAGTATAACAAATAACTTCTTTCCCTGCTCCTGTTTCTCTCCACTGCTGTTTTCTATAAACTGTTGAAAGACAAATGGCATGAAAGAGAAAAAGACATTTGAATAATTACAATCAAAGATAGTCAAAAGAAAAACTTCTTTATTTTTATATTTTGGTTTATCTTTCTAGAACAGATAGGACATTTTCAATTTGGTAGAATAAATATATATATATATATGTGTGTGTGTGTGTGTGTGTGTGTATATGATTCTAAAGGACAACAAATAAAAAGTTAGGTTTCTGTCATGTTTATTAGGAGTAACAATGTGGGCATTTGTTGTAAAATTCTTACAGCTTTAGTGCCTGTTTGAAATGTTCATAATAAAATGTTGGAAAAATGCAAATAATTAAAGAGATCTGTTTTATTCTTTTGAAGGTGGCCTGGACAATGTAGAATATTATGATATTAAGTTAAATGAATGGAAGATGGTCTCACCAATGCCATGGAAGGGTGTGACAGTGAAGTGCGCTGCAGTTGGCTCTATAGTTTATGTCTTGGCTGGTTTTCAAGGTGTGGGTCGATTAGGACACATTCTTGAATATAATACTGAAACAGACAAATGGGTTGCCAACTCCAAAGTCCGAGCTTTTCCAGTAACAAGTTGTTTAATTTGTGTTGTTGATACTTGTGGAGCAAATGAAGAAACTCTTGAAACATGAAAAGTGAGTGGACGTCAAGACTCATCAGAGACTCAAAAATATGGCCACCAGTGCTTTGTTCCAAGAGTTTGGTTGCAAAGTTTTAGTTTGGTGTTTTGTTTTTTTTTAAGGGAAGTTTCAAGTAAAGTAGGTTCCCTATTAAGTAGATATTTCTATTATATGGATTTCTTTACTTCATTCAAAAACCGTATTTTAGCTGGCCACATAACCAAGAACATATCTAGCAAGAAATAATTGAAAAATTGTAAGCATTTGGTGAAAATCAGGATTCTTAAATGAATTTCACATCTGTATGATTATGGCAGAGTGGGGGATCGGCTCATCAGTGACACAGTCTCATTTTAGCCCTAGATTCTATTTTCATACATCATAGAAGTGCTGTGTAGTTGTTTGTTTGTTTTTGTACCTTCAAGAACTAAGAAATCATATGAATTGTAAGTCAAGACAGGCACCTCTAATGAGGCAGCTTAATCTCAGATAATATTGCTTGTCTTCATTTGCTTAATTTAGTGCCAAATGTATTTCATTTTAGAAGTAAGCCAGAGTGAGTCAAGGCATACACACATATATTCTCTCACAAAACTTCATAAACACATTTTGGGACTTAAAAATGTACCCAATACCTCATGAAATATATTCAATCTAATTAAATATGTTTCATCATTTTAACACAAAATGTCAATCTTAGCACCCATCATTAATATCACTGTTTTATCAGTGGTTAAAAAATGATTATGCCTTTTCAGTCCTCACTGTTAAATAAAATACAATCGTAATAATTAACTAGCAAAAAATAGGCTATTTATAGCAAACTTCTAAGCTACTAGACACAACATCAGTGTTGACTTTGAACTTCTTCAGGATTAAAAAAGTACATGATTTCTTTAGCAGGACAAAGAGATATTTGACCCAGTTGTCTCTAAAAGTTTTGTTATAACTTGAGTTAAATATTTGTCATCTCGTATTAATTGTTTTATGGTCAATAAATCTTTTACAAACCCAACTACTCATTTTGCTTTCCTAGTAATAGTTTGCCCTTTTACATTATGGAATGTATGGAATGAGCCATTTCGCTGTCACCATCGATGTTTTTATCTGGTAATATTAAATATTTTTAACTTAAAATAGACTACCAAGTTTTACTCACTTTAAGTGTGTTAGGTAATGGTTGTTTTTAAGATTTATGAAACAATGTTTCTATTTTAATTTTCATTGTTTTCTTTACATGGGGGTTATAATATTAAAGTATTTAAATAAAAAAGGAATTCTAAAAACCATAATAATAGATATGTTTCTATTTGTAGGTATTCTTATGTATATAACAGCTTTACTGAGATTTAACTCATGTATCATACAATTCACCCATTTAAAGTGTACCATGCAATGGTCTTTAATATAGTCACAATTATGCAACCATCACCACAATTTTGGAATATTTTCATCACAAAAAAACACCCCATACTCATTAGCAGTCACTCCCCATTTTCCCCCTGTATTAGTTTCCTATGGCTCTTGACAAATTATCAAAAAGTTGGTGACTTAAAACAACAGGATTTCATTCTTTCACAGTTCAAGCCAGAAGTCCTAAACCAAGGTGTTGGCAGGGTTGTTTCCTTCTGGAGGCCGAGGCAGGAACTGCCTATCCCTCTTCCCTAGCTGCTGGTGGTTGCGGGCAATCCTAGGCACTCCTTGGTTTATAACATCCTTTCAATCACCACCTCTGTCTTCACATGGCCTTCCTCCCTGTGTGTTTTCTCTCTGTCTTCATGTGGTATTAATAAAGACAATATTCTCTGGGTTTGGTCCACCATTCCCTCTTTCCAATAGGACCTTATCTTAACTAATGACATTCTGCAAAGACCCTATTTCCAAATAAGATCACATTCTAAGTTCCAGGTGGATATAAATTTTGGGATTGTATTATTCAATCTAGTTACATCCACCAGACACTCCAGCCTTAGGTAACCATTAATCTTTCTCCAGATTTGCCTATTAACATTTTTATTGTGTTGTGAATTTTGTACTCCATTGGAAAGAAGTGTCCAGTTTAATTTTTTTGAGAGCAGAATATCAATTGATCAGATTACAATATGGTTACATTGCTTAGTTCTATAGTCTTCCATATGGATTATGCAACAGTTTAAGATATTTAAATAGACTAGCCTTTTCTTTAGATGGTATCAACTGACTAGAACACACTATAGTAAGTACATAGACAGGTTTGATGTAGACTATAATAAAGTAGGGTTTCTTTTTTCTTAGTAATCTTAGTAATTCCTAATTAGTGTCTGCTTTCTGCCTTGGAAATAGTCTACAAAATTGTCAATGCCAGGATTGAGTAAAGGTACAATATATTGACAAGTACATTTTATGTTACTCCCTCCCCTGCAAAAAAATTTGTTATCGTATAAAATGCTCTACTTTCCTTTTAGTAGATATGTGATATGTTCATGTTAAATCCTTTGTAGTGACACTATTTTGATGACACAACGATTTACACTTTGGCAAATACTTGAACACAGAAGTTTAAAATCTTGAAAAAAATTGTTGTTACAAAAAACAGTAATAAATTAATTGTGACTTAACTTTCAAAAACCTGATGTTTAGTCTCACAGAAAATTTTGAATCATGAAAATGAGCTATTTAGTAAATAATTACTCAGCCAACTAGTGTGTATTCCTTTTGCCTTATATATTGTTAATAGCAGAAATTTTAGACTTGCTGCATAAGCCAGTGAAAAGGACATACTTGAAGGAAACTTTGCTTTTTAAATGTGGTACTATTAATACTTATCAACTACTTTAGAAAATTCAGTATATTCCCAACATGGCACCAAACCACCTAAGTCCCAATAACTTGGTCATATGAAAGGACATTTTACAGGTTATATCATTCAACACTTGATAAATCCTTTAATTAAATATCCTCCTTTCTCTACCATTGCCTCGAAAGACTTAAAAGCTTCAATCTACTTTCATCTTCCTAAGTTTGCTCCTTTCCAAGGTGCCTACTTTGGAAGGAATAAAAATTAAAAATTTGCCCTTTCTCTTTACTGTTGCCTCAAAAGACTTTTAAAAGCTTGAATCTACTTTTAAATTCCTAACTTTCCACCTTCAAAGTAAATCAGACTACTTTGGGAGAAATAAAAATCTGCTGGGAAATTGAAATGTTATCCTTACTGATTGGAAAGCTTTTTACTTTCTAGAACTTTAAGCCTCCTCCCATAACAAAGCTATAAAATGGTGTTCAAAAATCTAGTTTATTCCTTAGGGAATTTACCTGACTTAATCTTCTAATCCTTTACCAAATTTGTTTCCACTGCCCATGCTTAATTTCCAAGAAAACTTTTTTAAAATTGTTCTTCTATATGGTATGCTGTTCATTTTTCATGTTATTCACTGAAGGTAGTTTAACATTTGTATACTCTTGGTGTTTGTTTCCTCTGATTCTTTTTCTATTTGCTTTTTTGCTCTTTTCCTGTTGGAGTCTTTTCTCAAATATCTGGTCCCTGGCTGTGTATTTATGTTTAAAAGGAGACATTAAAAATTTGATAATTTTTATGTACCAAGGCAGGCTTAAATTATTAGTGGACTTCATCATATGAGGGAATTGCCACCTATTTTTGGTGGGTACCAATGAGAGATCTGTAGATATATTTCTGGGATGTTGATTCTCCGAAAATAATTTTCTAAACCCTTCGGTGGGAGAGGGCAAGTTGGAAACAGGGAGACTATAAGCCTGGCTACAAGAATTCTGGAGCTCAGGCAAAGGGAACTAACCATTCAATAAGCATAGCTTAGTCCTTTTGTCAGCACCATAACTTGTCCTTGTGTACCTGATGTCCTGGACTCTTGAAACCTCTCATTACCTTTTTTCAAGAAAAAAACATCTCCCATCAGGTAGGGATAATCACCTCACTGGGTGGACTTACACACCTCACAAGAATTTTCAAACAATCTCCCCTTCTGTGGTACCTGGTTGCTCTTAATTCCTAAGGAATTTTGGCTTTTTCTGGAGACATTAATGTCCACCTTACAGGACTTTTTTCCTCTTCTTTAAATAATTTACTATTTACTTCTGGCATGTGCATTCAGTCTTCATAAATATGGTTTGAGATTATGGTTATCTTACTAGTATAGCTAATGTTATGTTTTTGGTTGGTTTCCCTCTTACTGTGATAATTTAAAAGGAAAGAGAGGCAGAAGTATTTTTTTAATTTTAATTTTGGTATCAATCTACAATTACATAATTACATGAAGGACATTATGTTTACTAGGCTCCCCCCTTCACCAAGTCCCCCCCACATCCCCGTTCACAGTCACTGTCCATCAATATAATAAGATGTTGTAAAATCACTACTTGTCTTCTCTGTGTTGCACAGCCCTCCCTATGCCCCCCCCTACACTAGACATGCTAATCGTAATGCCCCCTTTCTTTTTTTCCCACCCTTATCCCTCCCTTCCCACCCGTCCTCCCCAGTCCCTTTCCCTTTGGTAACTATTAGTCCATTCTTGGGTTCTGTGCTTCTGCTGCTGTTTTGTTCCTTCAGTTTTCTTTTGTTCTTATACTCCATCTATGAGTGAAATTATTTGGTACTTGTCTTTCTCCACCTGGCTTATTTCACTGAGCATAATACCCTCTAGCTCCATCCATGTTGTTGCGAATGGTAGGATCTGTTTTTTTCTTATGGCTGCATAATATTCCATGTGTATATGTACCACATCTTCTTTATCCATTCATCTACTGATGGACATTTAGGTTGCTTCCATATCTTGGCTATTGTAAATAGTGCAGCAATAAACATAGGGGTGCATCTGTCTTTTTCAAACTGGAGTGCTGCATTCTTAGGATTCTTAGGGTAAATTCCTAGAAGTGGAATTCCTGGGTCAAATGGTATTTCTATTTTGAGCATATTGAGGAACCTCCATACTGCTTTCCACAATGGTTGAACTAATTTATATCCCCATCAGCAGTGTAGAAGGGTTCCCTTTTCTCCACAACCTCGCCAACATTTGTTGTTTGTCTTTTCAATGATGGCGATCCTTACTGGTGTGAGGTGATATCTCATTGTGGTTTTAATTTGCATTTCTCTGATGACAAGCAATGTGGAGCATCTTTTCATGTGTCTGTTGGCCATCTGAATTTCTTCTTTAGAGAACTGTCTATTCAGCTCCTCTGGAGGCAGAAGTATTTTTACTCTGCCATCTTGAAACTAGAAATACCACTTCTATGACTCCACTCTCCTAATTTCCACTTAGCCCTTCCCTAATTGATCACTACTGAGTTCTGCATGCCTTATCCCTAGGCTCTCATTATCTCACACAGCACTCCATGTAGATGATCTCCGAATTCTGGCCTTACCCACTTCTCCACCTTCACCAAGCACCACCATGCTTACCCTCATTTAAGCGTCAACCACTGCTAGTATTATTTTAGGTCTCTGATCCCAGAAAAGTCCTTACACATGTTGGCATTTTCATGGACAAGAAGTCAGTGGCCACAAAAAAATAGGTTAATACAAGTGGATTGCTCAAAATAAGAATAATGGGAGTCAAGTTTATCAAAGAAGGAAGTCAAATATAGGAGGAAAATAAAATGAGTCCTATTGATCTCGGGTTGGAATTGGAGGTGATTAGTATGGAACAGTTTTTAATATATAGATACAGAAATCTGTATTGATGTAAAACCATGTCTGTGTCTACACTATATATTTCCTAGCAATGCCTATGAGAGGGCTTGGGAGCAAAACATCACAATAACAATGAGCAAAGTTAGAGCTCAGATTTTGGCTTCTAAGTACCAAAAGATTCAGGGCTTCTTGGAGAAAAGCTGACTCCAAGACCGGAGCAAGGAAAGTGTAAGATAAGCCTAGAGAATCTTTTGGGCTAGGAAGTGAAGAAGTGCTCAAAGAATCAAAGGATAAGTTAAAACGAAAAAGGAACATAAAGGGGCTCCCACTGGCCAAATTGAGGATGATTTGAGCAGCAAAATAAACAATGATAGTAACAGAATAATCCATTGAATAAAATTAGAAGCTGTGAGGCTAAAGTGATAGGAATAAATAACTGAATGAACTAAAACTTTAGTGAAGAATGAGATTTTTACATACTTTCAAAGTATCTCCC